GCTGAAACTAGACTCCTGGTTAGGCACGAGTCACAGGGCTAGGAAAAAGGCAGTCGTCTGCTTCTGTAGCCTAGTGTTTTGACACTCAACTTTGAGGAAGGAGACCTGTGCTTCGATTTGTTCCTAGCACTACTTTCCCATTTTGCATTAAACAGTCTTTGGACAAAAACAGAAATAGTGCTGATGGCAGGGACTAGACCTTAAATCAGCCTAAATCAGGAGAGTGCCATAACCACTAGAATACAGTCAGGCTCTCTTGCTGCTTCTGGTCACCTAATTCTTGGGGCGCTTGTGCATGTGTTGAAAATTGGCCATTTTTGCGGTGCAATTGTGTCATGCTGTACACGTGCAGGGTTTTTTTTACGATTTAAATGAGTTTGCTATGTTGTGAACTAAACCACATACACATGTAGTTTAGTTTGCAAAGTAGTTATTTGTAATGTTGTAGCCTTTGACAGCTCCCCCTGCTCCCCACCTCCCCACCCGCCGTGGCAGAGGTGGCTGAAAACAGAAGCAGTGAGGGGCCCTATCCTTTTTTTTTTTTCCCCCGGGGAGCCTGCCCACCTCTCCTGCAGCTGTGGGGTGAGATGCCAGCAGGCACTGAGCTGCAGGGGGCCCCAGACCACCATGGCGGTGGTGCCCCTTGGGCAGCACCCACCCGCTAGCAGCCCACCCAGGTGTCCCCGGGGAGGGCACCGCCACCACAGAGGAAAGGACTGGGGCCTCCTGCAGCTCAGGGGCCACTCAGCCCGCCAGCAGCTTATTCCCCAGCCATGGGAAATGCAGGCAGGCTCTGCAAAACAAAAAAAATAATTGGGCACTTCACCGTAACAGTGACAAAAGCCACCAAAGTGAAACGGTGGGTTTTTAATAGTCAAAATTAAAAACCTACCATTTCAACTTAGGGGTCTAAATCCCTGTCACGTGTACAAGCGGCCTTGGATTCTTGGCTGAACAGTGTTTCCAGCTTCAGTGGAAAGTGCAGAGAATGGGCTTAGCCAGTTATGGACGAGTTCCCTCGGGTGGAAGAGGATGTAGAACAGTCTTTTGCTTCCTGGGCAAGGGCACTACGCTCTTGGCTATTATGGAGAAAGTGCATGGCAGCAGCTCCTTCTCTGTTTAAGTTCTTGAGTGAAACAACTATAGCTTCTGTGTGGTAGACATGCTTTTCATGCTCGGAGCATGCCTATTGGATCGGATACCTTTGTGGACCTAGGTGAGAAGTTAGAGAGATTTAGGGTCAAATCACCTCTGGATTAGGTAGGAGAGACTTGTTCAAAGTCCTGGGGGTGATGGGGGAGCCTAGAAGCTGCATCTTCTCTTTCTTATACAAGTTCCCTATGTCACAGCCATTTGGGCTAAGGCATGGGAGATTCCTTCTTTTGTCTAAAACCTTCCTAGTCCTAGGTTTTTGCAAGGTAGAATTTTGTACCAGGACTAGTAGTGTTGAGGCAGGGTGCTAATTAACTGATTAATTGAGGCAGCTTAACGAAACTGCCCAGTAAATGAACAGGGGTAGAGCCCCAACTTTCATCAGGTTGTTAGCCTGCAGCCTGGCTGTAACCTGACCTGATATACTTAATTAAGAATAAAGAAACGACACAAGATCGTAGAAAGTTAGAGTTGGAAGGGACCTCAGGAGGTCATCTAACTAGTCCAACCCCTAGGTCATCTAGTCCAACCCCCATGGAGGGATGATAACAATAACTATGTTCAACAAATGACAACAATTCAACAGCAGTCGAATATCAATTGCAACAACGCAATATATGTGCAAGAATAGCAATCCAAAACCAGTGCTCACCCAAGAGAGGGTGCTAGACATCAATATCAAGCTCTGACCTGCTGTTGGCACTTGCTGCAGCCGCACCTCTAAAAGTCTTGCGCAGTCACCGCAGAGCGTTACCTCCCCAGACCCTCACCTTGCATCCACTCGCTGTTCAGGCACAGACACAGACCCACAGATGAGATATTGGCTGCTCTGAGCCCTCGCTCACTCTGCATTCGATCTGTGCTCACGCTCTCAGACTCCCTCCTTGGAGTCCCGGCTGCAGACATTCCTTGTTCAAACCTTCGATGGCCATCGGACAGACCACACCAGCACACATCTGCTTGCGTGCAGTGCCACATCCCACATACACGGTCGCACCCAGCTTCAGGTGCAACCCCTTTTTATAACCCTCGCTCCACTGACACCTGTCAGTCATCCATACAGCCAGTCATATGTCCATGCACATGACACTCATGCCATTTCATACAGCATGCTTCTATGCACATGACATGCATTACCTAGGTAAACGTAATGTTTACTTCATAGGTAGGACCTACTGAATTCACGATGGGAGTGAGCTGCTCAGCAGCTCCTTTAATTTTGGAGGTTTTCCTGTGCATCCCCACACCATTGATTGGAAGAGGGGCTCCACTGCTCGCTGCTCACTCCTGATCAGTGGGGAGGTAAAAACAGTGGTTTTAAATATGGTGCTGTTTTTGCCTCCCGTCTGGTCAGCAATAGACAGGGGCGCTGCCAGGGCCCCTCGGCCAATCAGCGGCAAGTGGCAAAAATGGCAATGTATTTAAAACTACAGCTTTTGCCTTGCCGCTGATTAGGAGCGAGCGGCAAGCAGTGTGGCCCCTCTGCCAATCAGTGGTGCGGGGCGCACAGGGGGAACCAAAGGAGCCGCTGTGCAGCCCATTTCCACCATGAATTCGGTAGGTGCCTACTCATAGGCTTGCCGCCCAAACCAAGTTACCAATCTGAGCATGCTCGAACCTCAAACTCGGTCACAGTTCAGTAGTTCAGACTTCCTAGAGCCTTCCCGAACCAAACGCTGCTGAGCATGCAGAACCAAAGGCCATTCTCTAACAAGATTGGGGACACTGGGGCTTATAGCCTAACTATAGCACTCGCCTCAAACTTCAGGTGAGGAAATTTAGGTAGGACATTAGGAAGAACTTCCTGAACAATCTATTCTGTAGCCTGTGCGAGGAAAGGAGCAAACCTGCGGGCTGATCTCAAGGTGGAATTTGTCAATTCTACACTGACCTCTGCCTCCAGGTTTCTTTGACTGAAAGTCACTGTAAAATGTCATCTTATGGAGAAGGTCCTAGGAGGAAAATGGAGTGACCCTGCATAGAAAACACCTCTCCCCTCCAAAAACAGAAGTTGCCTTTAATAGAAATAATTTTGCCTACCTGTCTGTTTTGAACCAATGTCTTCTGTCTGATTTGGTAGTACAGAAGCATATCAAGGCAACATACTTTTTGTTGGCCGTAGCCTTTGGGGCAACAAAATCAAAGAAACAAGAAAAGATTATCAACATATCTGGGAGCTAAAGTGAGGAAGATGGAGGTGTACCAGATGCAAATACAAAGGGAAAAACAGATTGTTTGCATATACTGTTCCTGTTTAATAGGCATCTCCAGCTCCTGAGGTGACTTGGCTAAAGGATGGGCTTTCTTTACCCAGAAAGGCCATAACAACCACCAAACGGGGCCACACTCAACTGGTGATTCCAGCAGCTGAATTTTCAGACAGTGGCATCTACTCCGTTTTGCTCCAAAATGAGTTGGGGAAACGAGACTCGTTCAGCTTCCAGATCCAAGTCACAGGTAACCTGTAGAACAGATGCTAAGGGAGAAGGTATTAAATAAAACAAACACTGCAAGTTTTGGTGGAGTTAAGAACTACAGTCAAGGAAGAAGACTACAATCTTCCATGAAACTTCAGTCCACGGGATCATCTAGGGCAGGTCTATGGATTATTGAAGGAGATTGATTAAATTATAGGCTGTGATCTGACCCATAGCACCCATGTAGACGAAGCCATGTTCCATGAGAGGGTCAGGTAATAGACCCTGTTGTCCTACCCATGCGCTGTGAACATCAGTCAATAATAGAACAAGATAGCAATGTCCAATCATAATTATTATAGCGCTATTAATTACACCCTTAACATTGTATATAAACACAGCTGTACCAATGCTCATAATCTACCTTTATCCATAAGAGGAGAGAGTCTTAATATTGGTGTGTTACCCAACATCAATGTAGTTAATGGCAAATTTTCCTTTGTTAGGTGGTGTGGCCTGCATATTTAGGAAAAGATCAGAATTACTTCCCTTCTAATGAAGTTTATCTAGCCACAGTTTGTAGAGTGTCTGCCCCTAATAATTTTGATGAGATTACAGAATTGTTATAATAACTCAGCTGTACCTTTTTCCTCTACTCCTCTGACAATATTTGATTTCATCTTACAGATATCCCAGAGTCGCCTGGTCCTATTCAGTTACAAGAGAATGTCCCCAATACAGTTACAATAACATGGGAGCCCTCACCAACTGAGAAGCGGGAAAGTAACCTCTACTATACGGTCATAAAATGTGACTCCAGAAATGGCCACTGGCAAGTGCTGGGTGACCTGATCTACACTAACAAGTTTACCCTCACCAAAGTCATCCCAGGCTTAGAGTATTACTTCAGGGTTGCGGCAAAAAATTACATGGGATCCAGTGATCCATCTGAAACTGTGCAGCCCTGGAGCATTCAAAAGGAAAAAGGTAAAAAGGGTTTAAAAATGTTATCAGTGCACTTTTGTGAATGGATCCCAATATACACAATACCATTGTGTCCCAATCCTTTATGTATGCAGTCTCTCAGGAGGAGAGTACATTGAAATACCCTAAGAAAATTGTATTGACTAAGGAGGTCTATCTCCTGCTGGACTGGCACGATTACAGATCAGCTAGGCTTCTTCATTCCCACCTTACCACCAACCTATATCACTCATATGATAAAAGTTTCTAAGAGAAATAATTTCCAGAAAACTCTGAGATTTAAATTCCGCAGAAACCAAGGACTCAGCATGAATGATGAGGACCTGGAAAATCTTAAGAAGAAATTATGGAATCCAGCAGGACATTGGCAACTGAGATTGGCCGCTGCTGGTGGCATCTGCGGGCGGTCGCTGCTCGCCACCTCATCCCCCCACTGCTGACATTGCCAGTGGTGTCTGCGGGCGGTCACCTATTGCCATTCAGCGCTTGCCACCCCCTTTGCCCACCACTGCCAATGCTGCTGGGGGCGTCTGTGGGCGGTCGCCGATCACCACTTGGTGTTTTCCACCCCCTGCCCCTGCCGCCAACACCGCCACAGCCGCCTGTGGGCAGTCTTCGCTCACTACTGCCACACCTCCAATGCGAACACTGCTGCCACCACCTGCGGGCAGTTGCCATGCCCTCCCTCCCCCACCTCGGGAGGCACGAGGCAGCAGGAGCTAGGTATCTTAGCCCATTTGATGGCCCATTTGACCTGTAGAAGCCCCAAACTTGGAAGTTTCATGTCAGTGTTATTTAATTGCTGTAAGTGGAGACTATTCCTTCACCCAGACTTTAAACTTACGGATCAGTCCCTGAGTAGGTTTTATGTCTCTTACAGCTGAATTCAGAGTTCGACTACCGAAGTACAGGGGTGTGAATCAAAATCAGCCTCCAAGATTCCTTGTGCAGCTGAAGCCCCATGTGGTAACCACTGGATTTGATTGTCGTATGAGCTGTGCAGTAACTGGCCACCCCAAGCCAAAGGTCACATGGTATAAAGATGGCAAAAACCTCTTGGAGGACCCCACTTTCTTCAGCAAAAATGACTTCGGCGTTTGCTGCCTGGTGATCTTAGGTGTGACAACAAAAGATGAAGGAGCATATGAGGTGCTGGCCACCAATGAATTGGGTTGTGCCATCAGCAAAACCTTCCTCGTTGTAAGAGGTAAAGACCCTGTAGTGGATGGTGTGGTGGCACAGTAGTGGGCACTACTACACAGAGACACCTGCCTCACTGTGCCAGGCCCAAAACCTCGCTTCGAGGGTCTCCCTTGGGGAGCCTACAGTCGGCTGTCCCGCTTCCCGGAGAACCCCCACAAGCCTAGGAGAACACTGCCACCACCCGGGCACTGGTTTCTGGCACGTCTCTGTGCAGCCCAGGGCACACAGACCCTGCAAACCTTGGGGGTGCTTTGCCCACAGTAATATTTCTGGGTGCTTCTTTCAGCCCAAAGCATCCCTAGATAGCATCAGGAAGAATTGAGGGGGAAAAAGAAAAAGAAAAACTTTGCTGGCCAGGCAGGGGGTAGAAGGCTTTTCCCTCTCTCCATGCCCAGCAATTCAGGATGTAACTCAACACCTTTACAAGGGGGGGAGGGGGTTGGATAAGGAAGTCAGAATACACTTTGAGCAAACAAAAGCAACGTGAGTCTTTACAGAGACTGTATCCAGTAACCTTTTAAGATGCAACTTGCCTGTACATAATTCATAACTCCTGGCAGGTTTCCAGGGTCCTGCTTACGGAAATCACCAGGCTGCTGCCTGGGGTACGTGCTTGTAGTTTGCAGGTGCCTACCGGAAGGAAGAGAGAGCTCCTCCCTCCCTCTAGGAATTTTATTTGGCCAGGTCACCTGATTGACCAGCCTGATCCAGGAGGAGCCAGGAGGGAGAGGGGTCACCTGGGCTTCCCCAAGTGAGGGGGAGGGGATTTCTTCACAGATGGCTCCTGGCACACTTGACTTCAGTGCTCTATCCACTCATGTGCTGTTGAGTTTGCGGGATGGAGCCACAGCTCATCTGGAGGGCACAAGGTGGTGCAGGGAGCGACTCCCACCACTGTGTGCGCCCTGGTAGGGAGGGGGGAGCGTGTATCCCCAGATCTGTGCGGGGTTGGGTTGGGGATGCACTTGGGGTAGGCGGCAGCACTGGGAGAAGGATACGGGAAGGCTATGGCAAATTTAGCAGGGGCTGTAGCCCCCTCTCCCATAGCCTCCCTCCTAGCATTGCTGCCACCTACCCTGAATAGAGTCCAGTGCAGCCCTGGCCCCAGCCTACAGCTGCAGCCCACCCTGCCCTGCCCCATGCTGATCTGGGGGCACCCCCCATGCCTTTCTAGAGTGCATGCAGTGGCGGGAGCTGCACCCCCAGATGAGCTGTGGCTCTCTCCCACGCCTGCCCCGCTCCAGCTGGGCATCACTTGCTCCAGTCTCTGCCCCAGCCCCACTCCTCCCTCACCACAGGGGCCTTGATCTGCCTCCTCATGCCCCTTCCATCCCCACTCCCCTTCCACCACAACAGACTTACCAGCTGCACACAGCTGTATCAGAAACTGAATCGGTATCGGCCAATATGCCTCCTTAAAACTCGGCTATTGGTATCGGCCCCCAAAATCTCTGTCAGTGCACCCCTAGCTATTAGTCCTTAGTATTATCTTAGCTGCACAGAGATCTTTACCCAATGCAGACAGGACGCAGTTCTTGTACAGCCTCAAAGTGTGGATCCTTTACGTGTTGGCTGGTGGCAGGGTGTCTTCTTGGCCTGCACACACCTTGCTGGCAGATTTGCTTAGTTCTTATACCGTTTAATTGTATAGCTTCAAAGCATTTTTCTTTGACGGTTGGCCGATTAGTGTCCAAACAAACAGGGAGGAATATCATAATTGTTAATTGCCTGGCTCCAGTTCTTGGATCATTTAGGAGTGTGCGCAGCAGTGGGAAGCCAGCCCTCCCCCTGCCCCCCAGATGAGTTGCCTGCAGCTCCATCCTGCTCCCCACCCAGACCCTGCGGCTGCACATTCTGGCCCCGAGCCCCAAGCCCCCCACACTGCCTCAGCTGGCAGCAGCCCCAGCCCTACCCAACTCATTCCCTCCCTCACTATGGGGCCTCAATCCCCACTCCCCTCCCTCCAGACTTACCTGTGGGATCTGCTCTTCAAACTGCCTGGCACCCATGTGCATATGTACGTGTGCACGTGCACATGGTGCTCCCTGCCTGACTGCCCTCCTCCCACTCCCCCCAGCCCCTCGTAGGCTGGAACTCTGTCATCCTGCAGAGAGCTCTTTGCAAATGTGGAAAATCCATATGTTTCTCCGTTAAAATGAAAAAAAAATCCATGTTTTTCTCGGTTAAAAGGAAAAATCTGCATTTTTTTCTGTTTTTCCATGGGAAATGGAAAACCCCGATCCCTGGTGATATCTTTAATCCACAAGATAAAAAAGACCTTTTTGAGCCAGAGTGATTTGCAGGGGAAGCACTGCAATTTCCATTTGCCTCTGACAAACAGCCATTTTATTATTTGCATCTATGAGAGATCAATCTTGCTCTGAATGATCGCTGTGCACAGGGAAACTTTTCTAGGTTAGAACTTTGTTCATGGATACAGACTGGTCTCTCCTGTGTTTCTCAAGTGACTTACACTATAGTTTGATTTGGCCTGCTGTTGCTTTTCCCTGTGATTGAGTTTTAAAGTACAGTATTAAAGATGAAGGAAGTAAAATGTCAAGTGACTTCATGAGCATATACAAAAAACTAAAACTCTTGGTTCCAAAATGATATCTTTTATTAGACCAACTGGGAAATCACAAAACAATTGTCCTTTTCTGCAAGCTGAAGGGATCAAAGTCCCTTCATCAGGCTCTGGGAAAAGTATAGACGTACAAGATGGCAAAAAGTCCCCACAAAGAGGAAATAAACTTCATTTTTGTACAGCATATGGTAGCCATACGCCCAGATCAAAATTTGGTTTTCCAGGATGGATGAGTTAAAGACAGGATAATTTTGGCCGTAGCTGAGCTATGCCCTAAGACCGGTGCGAGATTGTTCCCTATGTTTTATTAACCTGTATTTTTATCAGTTAATGACATATGCCCCAAGTAGATCTATCACCACCTCCGTTTGTTGGTGACAGATATGGAAGCAAATATTTGGTGAATATTAGTTATATTAGACTGTGCCATAGCTGACTGCAACTTATATTCAGACTAGTTTTCTCTTTGTTGATTTTATTCCCCTACTTCTACTCCTGTGTATCACCTACAGTGCTGCTCCCTCCAGAGTCCTGAAGTCATCATGTTTCTGCTTAGCCATAGCTTAAGCCAGTCAATAAGTATCAGGCTAATCAACACACCTCAATAAGGTTCCATCAAGATGGGATTCGGCCATTGAATTCTTGTAATCTTTTCTCATCTATAAGTCCTTCCAGTCCCTTAAGACTTTCAGTTCTTTTCAGTATGTTTCCCAGTCTGTCTCTACCAGTCTGATATTAAGGTGCTTCTCTTTCTCCTGCTTTTAGAACCCTCCTTCTAATATGACCTGCCTGAAGAAAACCTCTGCACAGCCATCAGATTAAGAAAGCTTTCATGTAGAAGTGGCATTGTACCAAAAGCAGTGTATCTGTTTAATAAGACCACATGATGGTCTTGGGGTGGCTTTTGTTTTCTGCTCCGTTACCTATATCTTGAGCATTGTGCTGTGTGTGTTGTCAAAATGGGAGAAAATAAACGCTGTGAGAGCAGAGACTTAGTACTGTGCAGAGTACCTCTTCACAGAGCAGAGCAGCAAGATTGTAGGGTCTTCTGAAGAAATGAGAAATGTATGGGACACAGTAGGCGAAGTGAGAGAGCGCGAGCAAGCTGTAGATAGAAGTGCTTGGTCAAGAGGAGTTTTCCGTGGAGGTTACAGTCATGAGATGCCCTTCAGCATCAAGAGATCACTGCCACCTGTGCATGGACCCTGGCTGAGAACTCTTCTGAACCCGAAAGTTCACCGTAGAAGCTCCATGAAGTTGACCTGCTGGGATCTGGATATGTAATCTTCTGTCTCACATGGGTTGTTTTATTCTCTGGGTTTTTAAACCTCTAAAGAACTGGGGAGCGTGGCTGTGAAAGTTGTGATGTGGTAGAAGGATGGGGTGTTTGTGGCCTCCCTAGAGGACATACTTCTATGCTGATGAGAATTGTCCATCTGAGTTGTGATTTTCTTTGCATCTACACGTTGCCCTACGGCGACATAGCGATGTGCTACATTGCCATTCGGTGCGCTATGGCAACACAGCAATCCTGTATGTCTACACGTGAGTGCCAGCTACGTTGCCATAGCAGCACATTCCCTGGGTATAGTAGGCTGCTACGGCGCTGTAGCAGCGAAATCTAAGCATGCGCCGCATGCACAGTGTAGTAACTGCCCATACTGCGCTGTGCTTTAGCAACATCGCTGTACAGCGACATGTAGACGCGCCCATAGTGGCCCCACATTTGATCTCTGGAGGTTCAAGGGGTGCAACAGCAGAACAGAGGAGACTGAACAATCAAACAAATAGTGGCAAAGCATTATTTAAAAAAAGGATGAATAGCTTCAGTTTATTTCTTTAATTTTTCCTCCCTGTCAAGCATTGAAGATGGAGATTGTTAGCATATTTGGTAAAGACATCCCTGCAGATTGCTTTCCAGAAGTCCCAGTTCTACTAACAGCAATCGTGCACAAATCTAATTGTCTGAGGTTGTGTGCATTATGCCCATAACTGTCTATGCTGAAAATATTTGTCTACACACGCACTCACGCACGTGTGCGCGCACACAGGCATGCACAGAGAGCGAGAGAGAGAGTGACTCATATAGCAGTATCTTCAGACAAGTAATTTCTCATGCTGGAAGAGCAGGGAGTACTACAATTCAGGATTATATTCAGTGGCCTAAATGTTAATGGGAACCCAGATTGGGGGAGCAGATGCCCCTGCAAGCCAGAGCTTTTTACATGAATAGGTCTGTGCCCCACCTTTTTGCACCATAGTCCGGCTGCCAATGCTTTTATAAAACATATAGACTTTTTAAACTACCAAGTTAATATTTCCTTTGAAAATATAACAGTAAACTGGGGTTCAATAATGGTCATCAGGGTTCTGCAAAGAGACTGGGAGTATTGGTGGAGTGGAGGAGGTGGTGTGCCACCATTACTGGGCTGGGTTGCCTGGCTCTGCATTAACTCACCTGGCCTATGGGTAGGGGTCCCACGGCAGAAGTGATATGAAAGGGTTCTATGGCTTCAGGAAGTTTGAAAACCACTACATTGTACAACCTTGCATATTTGATCAAAGAAGACTCCACCAGAAACCTCTGAGATCAAATGATTTGAGGATTTGCTTGTTGAATAGATGTTGCGGTTCTGACATCAACAATTTATGGGGAATGGACACTTGCACAGCATCATTGCAATAGTGCTAAAGGTACTAGCAGGTGATGTCATGTGAGACGGGAATGTACCAAGAATGAAAGATTAGAGGCCATTGAATTGTCAAATGCTTGCATGTGGCTTACCGTTGAGGTGTTTCAGCACTTTCCTTGACATTTTGTGCTAATGCAACACAGAAATGGCAACTGTAGATAAAGATTAAATTAAATCTCAGTTCAATAAAAATCAAAGAGAATAAGTGGGATCCTTTCTTGAAAAATCAATGTTTTTTGGCTTTTGTATGTTGATTTTACATACTGTGTATCTTTATATGCTAATTGATACCTCCTAGCTATTAAGACGCCTACCAAACTTAGCTAGACCTCTTAATCCTTCTAGGCTTCTGTAAGATCACTTATCACTGAGCTGAAGTATAGTAGCAGAATGATGAAGAATCAAATGTACATGTTTATGCAAATTAGATACAGAGAAAATACATTATTAACATGGTTCAGGATATAAGACAGCCCTTTACTGGTGAGGTCAAGGAGAAATGTCACATGTAGACGAATTATCCTTGTCCCAGTGAGCAGAGGTTCTTCCACTTCTTTGTTGCAGTTGGGACTAAGCTGTAGTGACAAATTACTGGATCCAATCTGAAAGTTCCTGTATTTATCTCGGCAAGAGAATGAGGAGGGCAAAGTTCTGATCTTCTAATTGTCATGGTCACCTCATTGCAATAGGAAGGACCGGTCTGAATCTGACTAGGTTTTGTGGATATCTAGCAATGTGTACAGACACAAGGGGTGGGGGGGACTCAGCTGTAAAGTTCAGCTAGCATTTGTAAAAATACTGATGCTTGCGGTTTATTGGTGCAATCGAGATAACTTGGGAAAGGACCTGTGAGGTTCTAGCAGGCCTGATATCAAACAGTGAAAAAACAAGCCAGGAAAAATGCTGCTTGAAAAAAAGGCTTGGTTTGAAATGCCTTTTAGCACCATTCTTATCAAATCAGCAAATGCATTTCTTCTTTCTTCTGGCTAGATGCTTACGCCGGTTGTCTCCCAGTCAGAGGAAGAAAGCTCTCTTCTCTTCATAGTTTCATAGTTTCAGGGTCGGAAGGGACCTAATAGATCTTCTAGCCCGACCCCCCGCCAGGGCGGGAGAACAACCCAAAAAAAAAAAACCACTCACCCTAAAAACAAAAACGGGACTCAAATGAGTCCAGCCAGGTAAGTATCCAGCCTCTTCTTAAAGATCCCCACGGTAGGGGTCAGCACCATCTCCCTTGGAAGTTGGTTCCAGCTCCTAGCCGCCCTAACTGTGAAGTAGTTTTTTCGGATGTCCAATCTGTACCTCCTCTCCATCAACTTGTGCCCATTACTCCTTGTTATGCCAGCGGGGGCTAGGGGAAACAGCGTCTCCCCCAAACCCTTCTGGTTCCCCCTAGTGAGTTTATAGACGGTCACCAGGTCCCCCCTCAGCCTTCTCTTGTGGAGGCTGAATAGGTTCAAGTCCCGCAGTCTCTCACTGTAGGGTCTGCCCTGTTGTCCCCGGATCATGCGGGTGGCCCTCCTCTGGACCCTCTCCATGTTGTCCACATCCCTCCTGAAATGGGGCGCACAGAACTGGACACAATACTCCAGCTGCGGCCTGACCAGCGTCGCATAGAGGGGGAGGATCACCTCCCTGGCTCTACTCGAGATGCACCTGTGGATGCACGACAAGGTCCGGTTAGCCCTGCCAACCATGACCTCGCATTGTCGGCCCATGTTCATCTTGGAGTCAATAATGACACCAAGATCCCTTTCCGCCTCCGTGCTCTCAAGTAGGGAGCTCCCCATCTTATAAGTGTGCTGCTGGTTCCTACTACCCAAGTGCAGCACCCTGCACTTGTCCGTATTGAAACACATCCTGTTCCTGTTTGCCCACCCCTGTAACCTATCCAGATCCTTCTGCAATCTCTCTCTCCCTGCTAGCGTGCTCACCTCCCCCCAAATTTTGGTGTCATCAGCGAATTTAAACAGGTTGCTTTCCACCCCAACATCAAGATCGCTGATGAAGAAATTGAACAGCGCAGGCCCCAGGACCGAGCCCTGGGGGACTCCACTACCCACCTCCCCCCAAGTCGAGTATGATCCATCCACCACCACCCTCTGAGTGCGACCCTTCAGCCAATCTGCAATCCATCTGACCGTGTAGGCATCTATGCCACAGTCGCCTAGTTTATTAATTAGGATGGGGTGAGAGACGGTGTCAAAGGCCTTGCTGAAGTCCAGAAAGACTACATCCACCGCGACACCTGCATCCATGGCCTTTGTGACCTGATCATAAAAGGCAATCAGGTTGGTCTGACATGATCTCCCCCTAATAAATCCATGCTGATTGCCCCTGAGCATCATCTCGGATGCCGGCCCATCACAAATGTGCTCCTTGATGATCTTCTCAAAGAGCTTCCCCAGGATTGAGGTAAGACTGACGGGCCTATAATTGCCCGGGTCCTCCCTTTTCCCTTTTTTGAAGATGGGGACCACATTAGCTACCTTCCAATCGTCTGGCACCTGGCCCAAGCACCACGATCGCTCGTAGAGCCGTGCCAGGGGCCCTGCAATAACCCCAGCCAGCTCCCTCAGCACCCTGGGGTGGAGAGCATCCGGACCCGCTGACTTGAACGCGTCCAGCCCCTCCAGAAGCTCTCTAACCCGGTCCTCCCCAACCTGAGGTCTGAAGGCGATCCCCTCGCGTCCGGCTTCTATCACAGCAGGGAAGTCCCGGTCCCTGCACAAGAAAACGGAGGTGAAGAATTGGTTAAAGAGGTCCGCTTTATCCTCTGACGCAACCACCAGATTGCCCCGCATATCCTGCAGGGGCCCCACATTACCCGGCGCCTTCTTCATCCTCCCAATATATTTGAAAAAGGACTTTTTGTTATCCTTAATCCTGGACGCTAATCCGAGCTCTATCTCCGCCTTGGCCTTCCTAACAGCCCGCCTGCAGGCCCGAGCAGAGGAGGTATACTCCTCTTTGGAGATTACACCCCCCTTCCACCGGGCGTACGCCACCCTTTTGGCAAGCAGGCATTCCCGGACACCCTTGGTGAGCCAGGGGGGCTTTTGGACACTCCTGCCCGCCTTGCTTCTTGTCGGGATGGACACCCCTTGGGCCCCGAGTATCGTTTCCTTAAGGAACGACCACTCCTCTTGGACGCTGAGTTCCTCTGCCCTCAAGGACCCCAGTTCCTCTCCCACTAATCTCCTCATCTCACTGAAG